TGGAGGGGCAACGCTGACTGGAGAATTAATTCTGAGCAAAGACACAATGACTGGGGGTATGATTAAGCACCCCTGTCTTGCAAGGCCTCTTTATTCAACATCATCCTCTTAGGAAACTGCCTGCCTGCCTGCCTGCCTTTCATAATGTAGTAGGAAAATCTGAAGCACATGTGTTTGTCATGCTTCCAAGAAGAGACTGGAAATGCAGGCAACTGTGGGAGTTCCTCTGTGTGGGCATTTTATATGTTCCCTTGGCTCTTTTGTAAAGCTATTCAGGACCAAGCCACCCCCAAATACTATATGTTATATACAGTTAGCTCCCAGGATTACATTGTTAGTGGAAAACTTCATTTCCCAGTACCACTAATGTGAGTATTGCAACTAAGCTCAAAGGGAACGGAAAAGCTGGTTAAAAGTTCAGAAACTTCTACTCTGTGAGACCTGATTCTAATATACCACCAATCAAGGCTCTGTTAAATATATTTGTGTAGCATCTATAATTTTGCTTCTGGAATGACCAATAGAAATAAAGAATGCTTCTAGTTTTTTCCCCCATCACATACTTGTACGTACATACATTGATTGCATTTATACACCATCCCAATAGCCCAGAGGGCTTTCTGGGTGGTTTACAAACATTAAAAACCCACTTTTAATGGGGAGTAATAAACCAATACTTTAAGGTTGTTCACTCTGGCAATATTTCCAACTGGTATTTATATCCATTCTCTCTGGTGTTTGCTGATGTACCACAATTTATTATTGTAGTTGAAACAACTCCTTTGGGAATTACTGGAGCAGCTCTCCTATGAGGAAGGTTTTAACATCTGGCATCTAGCTTAGAGAACAGGCAGGTGAGGAGAAGCAAGGCAGAGGTATACAGCATTCTTCATGGTGTTGAGAAAGTGGATAACAGACAGTTTTTTCCCACTGTCATAGTAATAGACCTTGGGGGTCATGCCATGAAGCTGATTGGAGAGAAATTTAGGAGAGGGAAAAGTACTTCTGCAGATAGTGCGTAGTTCAATTATGGAACTCACTCCCACAAGTTGTAGCGATGGCACCAATTTGCATGTCTTGCAAAGGTGAGTAGACAAGTTCATGGAGGACAATCTACTGAGGACTTCTAGGCCCGATTGTTCTGTGCTACCTCCAGGCCTAGGGGCAGCCTGCCTGCGTAGGCCAGTCACTGGGGAGTGTGAGTGCGGGGCTCGTGCTTGTGGGTTCACCTGCAGGCACCTGGTTGGTCACCTGGTGGGCAGGAGGTTGGACTTGATGGATCTTTGCCCTGGCTCAACATGGCTCTCCTCAGTGCTGGCATTACACTGGCTGCCATCTGATTCTTAGACGTCGACAGTTTAAAAGTCCTCTGCATGAGCTGCTCTGGGACATCGGGACAGATTGCCACTGTACTGCCTTTAGGCATGACTTGCAGGCCTTGGGGCTGCATGGTAGCAGGTTCTGTAGGCCTCCTGTAAAGCAGTTGGTGCCCTTCCCCACTGAATTTGCGACTACAGCGGTGACAACAAAACACATTTTGCAGAGAGCCGAATGGTACCAAATTCGATAAAGGTGGCACTTGGGGATGCAGTGGGGCTGCAACCATGGAGACCCTCACCTCTGGCTTATGCCATGTAATATCCTTCCCCAACTGGATGCCCTCCAGATAAGTTGAACTACAACTCCCATAATCACCAAAGAATAAACTTCCTGCCAGCATGTCCAACACATCTGGAGGGCTCAAAATTAAGGGAGGCTGCAATGTGGCAGTTGTAGATGGACTGTGACACAGGTGCAGGCTCATTGGCATTAGCACAATGCAAATGCAAGAACTGAAAAGGCCTTGAGAGAACTTATATTGCTTTATATCATCATCATCATCATCATCATCATCATCATCATCAATATCCTGCCTATTCCCAGTAATTGGGACTCAAGGGACTCACAACACTGAAAATGTATGTAATTAAAATATTCATAGCAATATATACAAGTTAAAATAGAACAAATCAGTTAAGTATAAAATCATATGAAATACCTGAATTATTTATTTATGTATTTGTTTGTTTATTTAAAACTTTTATATGCTGTCCCTTATGCATGACATCTCAGGATGGCTTACAATTGGAAATACTTCCCATACAAACATGCACAAACTTTTTCCAACCATCTCTTTCTGAACTCCTGTTGTAGCACTGAAGAAATAGCATCTTCATTGCTGAAGCTGCGGGGCCTCAAGCTACAAACGTAGTCCTTTGAAGGAAAAATAAAAGGCCTGGGAAGCCAATCACCTCTCCTTTCACTTACCTGCAATTCCTGTGAATTCTTTATTTTATTTATTTCGAAATGATCACGGCTAGTAAATAAAACATGCATCTCATTGAGCCATCTCAGCTTTTGAGTGCCTTTCAGGTCCAAGAAGATAATAATGAAAGCTCTTTTTAGAATGTGTCACCTGGGCCATTCAGAATTAATGGCTAACTTCAGGGCAGTGCTTGCATTATATATTTATGTGGTTGAAGTGAAACATTCAAATCACACCAGTCCCCCATCCTCCCCCTGCCCGACTCTTATTTCACTCAAATGGAAGTTGAAAAGAAGAAATAGTGCATCCTCCAGTTGCACTATCCAAATTAACAATTTCATGTGCCCTGCCATTTAATAAGACTAGTTCTGCTTCAGAGTTGTTCAAGGAGCAGAGAATTTCAGCTCCATCCAAATGTAACGATCCTTATCTTTGTTTTTTGCAAAGACAGCAATAACTTCCTTGACACAGCTTGGCATCAATGTATCTCACAGAGAAACTAGCATGTTTTTTCTAGTGTTGTGCTGAAAAGTTCTCCCTTATATTTTTTTTGGTCATTCTCAGTGACTTTAAGAGAAAACAACCTGTTTTCAAAAGGAAATTCAAAGGAGAAGAAATTTCTGAGATATTCCCATGGCTTTGGGTCAGGCTTCTTTGGGTCAGGCTTACCTTACTCATGTGGTGACTGAATTGTTGTGTGAGTACGCTATCTTCCATTGCATGGTCATAATTATCTGACAGCCAGTAGCCTTGCTAGTTTCCACACTCTCTGCCCAGAGAAGACATCATATGGTCCTTCCTCCCACAGGGCTTTTTTCAGACCAGGAAGTGCAGGCAGACTGGGCGACTGCAGAGCAAGGGAGAGATGTGCAGTCAAAACTTCCCAACATACCCCTTGTCAGAATCCCGGAATCTCAATTTGAGAAGAGGAAATAAAACTCGGGTTCGTGGGAAAGATCAAGCATCCAGACCATCTAGGCTTTATTGCATTACCCAGGTTCCCGCGGTACACTCACGATAATGCATTACAGGGCAGGCAGAGGTAAACTCTGCTGCAAAGCTTCAATACCATTACAGGGCATTTATACCCTCCCAGTCACAGGTACAGGGCAATTGATGACAGAATGCAGACATTACAATAAGGTTCTGAGGTCATCACATACAGAACAGATAAAGGAATGTCAGTCAATCATACAGAGACAAAGAGATTACAATATTTCTAATTGCAGTGTACTGACACTTTAGTTGAGTAACTTGAACCCATCTCCAGGTCTGCTTAGACATGTAAATTCAAGCTACTGAGAAACTATTCATAA